TAGAATGAGGATAATGGGAGATGCTCTGTAAATATTTTTGAATGAATGAACGTGATAGTCTGTTTAGACCTAAACACATGCACATCTACTCGTTCATCCACATCTACTCGTTCATCCACACTCCGAGGCTCAGGTTAAACCTGTGAGCATTAATTCTGTCTGTCAACTGGATTGAATTAAAGGACCCAGATATTTAGCTAAGTGTCATTTCTAGACGTGTCTGTGTTTATGGACACTAACATTGCATTGTTTGTATTCAGTGGATATCCTACTTTGAATTTTGATGGTTTTGTGGGATAGCAATCTGTGATAAAATACACTCTCATGAGGTTGGGCCTAGGCAGGGCATCATAATTCCCAGTCAACTGTGAGATCTGGAGGGCAAACGGCCTATAACTATGCTTCTCAATTGTGATTGCTGGGTTAGGCTTATTAAATGCATTTACAAGTTATATTTTCAATGGGTTTACTGGGCCAAAATCCCACTGTAAGTCACAAAGCATCTGTCTGTATTATTGGTTCTGTTTCTCTGGAGAATCCTAATACAAAACCCTTGAGGTCTGAATTCCTGAGCCTGCTTTTTTATGATGTTCTTTTTCTTTGAAGCACTTGAATCCATGTTGACCTATAGGGCAGGGGAACAAGGATGGAGGGGACCATGGTCATATAGGAACTACCAATTAAACAGCTGTAGTTTGAAAAGCCTCCTAAGGGTTCATGTGTTAAATACTTGGTCCCACCCCATAGCACTGTTGGGGGATGGTAGAACTTTTGAGAGGTGGGGCCTCATGGGAGGGAGCTAGGTTATTGGGCGTGTGCCTTAGAAGGGGATATTGGCACCCTAGCCCTCGTCTTCATTTTTCCTGCTGCCTGGCTTCCATGAGGTGGACAGTTCTTCTCCATCACGCAGTCCCACCATGCAGCACTTAGCCCTGGACTAACCACTGTGAAATCATTCTCCAAAATAAACCTTTCCTTCTTTAGTTGGTTATCTTGGATATTTTGTTATAGCAGCAGAAAGCTAACACCCCCTCTGACTTTCTTTTCTTCTATAAGAATAGTTGACCCATGGGGTGGACATGGGAGTGCACTGTACTAATTGGATCCAGGCCTCTCCCTAGGGACTGCATGAACTGTGCTTTTCATCTCCAATTAAAAATGAGCTTCAGAATTTTTTACATTTGGGTTTTTTTTTCTTTTGTAAAATATTTTTCATGTTCTTCTGTGGACAATGACATTTTACAAACACCTTAGAAGCTTGAAAATACCTTGAGTACGGGTTTTAAAAGAAACATAGAATGACTGTAACTGAGAGTGATTTTTGATGACAGTGAGTTTGCATCAAAAACAGATAACTTAGAAGTGAAATTGAAAGTCCCCAAGAATGACAAAAGTGTCATGAGAAAGACTCACTGGTCTATGAGAGTGAAAGTAATAGGGCAAGGTGTGGATAAATGAAAATATTTTAGAGTGCTCTCTCACAATAATGTAAAAGGAATGTGTTTAACTATAGATTAATCTGATCCTGAATCCTCAAGATGACAGTCACCTTACATAAGAAGAGTGACCCCAACCCAATAAACTCTAGCGTCACAAAATAAAGTTAATAGGGTATAATCAGTGCTTGCTTGGGAGTTTATGTGTTCTCACTAGCTAGTTGTATAATCTTGAGAAAATGATTTATCAACCCCTTTTGAACTTCTATTTCCTCATCGGTCAAGTAGGAATAATTATGTCTTGTTGACTGTGGTGGACATGGGAATGCACTGCCCTGAGCCCCTTCCAATTGAAAAACTTGTCCCATTGCCTTGGACTACTTTTGGCAGTGCCTTCAGCTACAAATTTCCCCCAGCGCAGAGAGCAGCTTCATTCCAGGTCACGCTCCTTCCCAGGATGGCCCATATCCAAGGACTGCTCTACACAAGAGTATGAAGAATTGGCCACCTTGGTCCAACTGGAGACAAGTCGGGAGAATGACTCTTGCTTGAGAGTTCCCTGTGGGTCAGACAAGGCTGTCCCTGAGCCAGCATCCCAGCATGCTTTTTCCTTGGGTGTTGATGCCAAGACCACTGTGCAATAAACACTTTACATGCTGAACTTTGTCTCAGAGTATGCGTCCCAAGGAATCCAATCTGCAGTCCACATCTAACTTAAGATGCAAGTAAATTTATAAATTATTTATAGTTGGAATTGGAAAGTACTAATTCAGTCACTGACTCATCACATGAACTTTAAATATAGGTGTTGACCAGAGAGACATTTGTGATTTCTGTTGCTTATACAAACCACCTAAGAATTTAGTATCTCAAAAAAGCAATGTATACCCACCACTGTATAGATTGACTGGGTGGTCTTCCTGCTCTGCATGGAAATGGCCAACATACTGGGAAGTCTGATAGGCAGAAGGTGGGCTGCATGCTCACCTGGGATTATCATCAGGGACTTCAGTTCTCCATATGTGCCTCTCCACATGGCTACTTGGGCTTCCTCATAACATGGCATCTAAGTCCTAAGAAAGATCATTCCAAGTTGAAAAGCCCAATGTACAAGCACTTATCAAGCATCCTCTCACACCACGCTGTCCAATATCCCAGCAACCAAAGCAAGTCGCATCGCCAAGCCTGGAGTTAATGTTGGAAAGACTGGCACAAGGGCTTGACTGTGGAGAGTAACAGTTTATTGAAGAGCACCAAACTACCAGGCTTTATGAAATGAAAACAGTAAATATTGGGCAAGTTTTTATGGAACCAATAAAAAATTTTCTTTTCTCCTGACTAGGTAGGTTTTCTTTAGTACTTTCTCTGTAGAATACTTATAAACCATAGAAGGTAATGTTCATCAAACAACAGAGTCAATATTCTAGCATCTGCTAGGTATTAGAAATATTTCACAGATATTAAACTACAGCTGGCTTTAAGGAGCACACGGTCATGTCAGGGAGATGAGCATGCAAATATGTAATTACAGAACAGTGTGACAAGATAGTACAAGAGTGTATCTCCAAAGTAAAATGGGAGCCCAGGGGAGGCAGCATCTAAGTCTAGGAGAGGGAGAAGCAGGCATTTCCAACTGAGCAACATCAAGGTAAAGATAAAATAACTGCTCCAGTGTAAAATAACATACACCATCACAGCAATCTTTGCTAGAATTACAGTTCAATTCCCTGCGGTAGAAAGGGTTGTGTGTACATGTCCATATATGCATGCATGTCACCAAGAAGAGGTGAATACAAGAAGCAATGGGACAGGTATGTGAATTCCAGATCAGGAAGGAGCTGGATTCCATAGAATGTTTCAGAGGCTCAGGACTACCCCGCGGGGCCGGGGGAGTGGGGGGACCCAGGGACGCCTTCCTCAGAAGAGCAGGAGGTTGGATTTGTGCACTGAAGTTTGGTGCGCTCTGCATCCTGCCTTGGTTTGCATTGCCTCATTCCATTCCTGCAGCATGACGCAGTGCTTCCCCACATCCCCCCAAAGAACAATCCATTCCACAAAACATTACTGAAAATGTGGAATTTCTCTACATTTGCACAATGCAGCGATTTCCACGTTGCTGCAGAAACTGAAGGCTTTATGGGTGGGACCGAGGGGGAAATCACATTTCAGGATGTACCGAATCTCAATCCCCAGGTCCCCCAGTCCTCGGTTCCTCCTGTGCTGGTCCAGGACCATTGAGTTCTCATCTTTCCTTGATCCCTTCCCTTACAAAGTCTTTAATTTTCTCTGACTCTAGGTCTTTAGAAATCATGCCTCCCTCCTCCTCCCCATCTCCCCATCTCCCCTTTTCTCATGTAGGGCGATTAGGCATTACTCTAGCCTGTCTGTTCCCATCATTTCTCTCAGCAAAGAAACACTTGCCAATATTGATATCTTCACACACCTCGAAAGACATCAGAGAATATTAATTTTATAAATAGCATCAGTATATGTTTATGGCGTAACTTTCAAATATCACTTCGGAAACCATACGAAGAATGATCGGGTTGGAGGCAGGGGGAGGCTAAAGAGGTCAGTAAGGAGGGACACAATGGCATAGGTGTAACAGGTGGAGGATCTGAGGTAGCCGCTCAGATACAAGTGGAAGGGGCAGGCAGCATCAGGAGGTGGAATCAGTGGACTTGTCCATTAATTCAGCCCATATTGTCTCTAAAGCATAGACATGTTTCTTCCTCAAGTTGGTATGATTTGGCATGATCTGGGCTTATTGGTGGAGCCAATCTTAGGAAAAGAAGTCATAGTGTGGTAGGGGATTGAGCCCTATGTTATGGATGGTGATCCTCTCCACTCCCACATCCCTATTGCAAGTATCAGGTACGATAACGAACAATGAGGCAGTCTTCTGAAAGTTTCCAGGTGGTCTCACATATCCAGATCGATGGTGGCTCCTGTCTCAGTCCAATTTCCATTGCTGCAACAGGATACCACAGACTGGGAAATGTATAAAGAATAGAGGTTTAGGGCTGGGATTGTGGCTCAGTGGTAGAGCTCTCATTTAGCACGTGCCAGGCCCTGGGTTTGATCCTCAGCACCATATACAAATAAATAAATAAAATAAAGGTATTGTGTCCAACTACTTCTAAAAAATAAATGTTTTTTTAAAAAAGAATAGAGGTTTATTCTTTTTGTGATTCTAGGGGCTGGAAAGTCCAAGAGTGTAATTCTGGAAGCTAGTGAGGACCTTCTAACAGCAGCATAACTTGGTCCAGGCATTGCCTGGCAACACAGATCAAAGTTGCTTATTTGGATGTCTCTTCTTCTGACAAAGCTACTCATGTCATCAGAGGACTCCAGCCTCAAGACTACATCCAATCCTAATTACCTCCAAATAGCACCTTTTCCAACCAGAATGCTGTTGGGGATTAAGTTTCAACATGCGTTTTGGAGAACAAACTCCCAGATCTCAGCAGCCCCTGTCACTCTAGGCAACTGTCCCTTATTCCAACAGGGCTGCTTTGGTTGAGATCCTTTCTGAATCTTTGGCATCTGCATTTGGAGCCAGGATATGAGACACCCAATAGTCTGGTCTCATTACTTGATGGTGACTTTCTATTTTCCCTCTGGAGAGCTTTAACCACCATGCACATCCAAACTGCTTTCCAGATCCCAAGGCTAAGGCTTCAACTAAGGAAAATAAGTTGGGGCATGAGAGTGGAAGAGCTTGAAGCTCAGGGTTGGAAAAAGGACCACGGCCAACAGCCACAGACCTGTTAGGAAGAGAGGCTGGATGGAGTCTGTCCTGCCTGGCTCTTCATCTCCAACTTCCCGAGTGCCACACATCATCAGCATGTGATCCGGGCCACTTCTCCGGATGTGACACTTCATTCCTAGGAGGTGAGAAGCAACAGTATTGCAAAGAGAATTAAAAAGGGCACGGGAACTGGAAACAAGCTTTATTCAAACGGCACTAGGGCTGGTTTACGGCAGAATGAGGCTGCAAATGAATTTTTCTTTCATAGCTTCATTGTTCAACTGCAAGATCTGCTTAAACCAGGGAAAGGTGGGCATTTTGAAGCAGTCCAGGTAGGTTCGGCTAGGGCTGAGCAGACTTCTCTGGTTGTTAAAACAGGCAAAGAAAAAGGAATCAGGATGGTGAGCTATAAATAACTAAAGACAAAGATAGACAAATAAAATTTGCTCACAAATACTAAATAACTGTTCAGGAAAAAATTATGGGGATTTTTCTTTAATTTTGTATCTTTGTTTCTTCTTTAGTGGAGGAGAAGATAGTATATAAACTACCATGTACTGGCCACAAATCTTACTACTTCCCCATAGACTATGAAATATAGGTTATTGCCTTTTACTATATGCCGCAGTCTGGCTGGGCACACAATCACGAGCCACCACACAGCTTGTAGATTCAAACAGCAACTCTTTATTCCCGAACTCACACCGGCCGTCTACAATCACGTTCTGGGGAAATCCACGTTCTCTGCCCAAATCCACATCCACTGGGCTTCTGTCTCCCAAAAAATACTGTCTGAATCCCGTGAGAACTCAAGGGGAACTCAGGCAGCAGGATGCGCCCTATTCCCAGCAGGAATAATCTTAAACCTGGAACGCCCTAAACCCGATTATCCTAAACCAGGAACACCCTAATCCTCCCTGGTCCTTGAGCAAGGTCACCTACATTCAATGTCACTGCAACATGGGGTACGCTGGCAAGGAAATTGTCATACCTACTTGGCTAATGGCTCCCAGCAACTATATGCAGCGTGTGTGTGTGTGTGTGTGTGTGTGTGTGTGTGTATGAGAGAGGTTAAGTTGCCAACTAATTTTCGACAGAGACTGTGCTCTTAAACACCAAGGTGTTCTCCCGTTTGGAGTTCAGCTCGGGCAGCCTCTTCATTGCTGGTACCAGCTGAGAGCCTGCAACCCTTCTTCCCCAGGGTTGTCAGAGAGGACCAAGGAGAAGTTGAGCCTCGGGGTTTTCCTGGATGGAACGGTTGAAATAGAACAAAATACAAGGTGTATGAGAGATAAAGACACCTGGTGATCATCCACCCAGATGTGGTCAAATATTTTTTAAACCTTATTTTTAAAACAGTTTTAGATTTACAGAAAAATTATAAATAGTAACACTTCACCACTAGTATGGCAATTGGTTAGAATTAATGAGCCCATGTCCACAAGCTATCATGAACTCGAGTTCATGTTCCAGAATCCCCTCCAGGGTACCCCGTTGATTTAATCATCATGTCTGCTTGGGTCCCCCTTGGCTATCTCAGACTCTCTCCTTTTGGATGACCTTGACAGATTTGAAGAGTACTGCTCAGGTATTTTGTAGCATGCCCCTCAATATGGTTGTAGACGATCTTTTTTTTCTCAAGTTGTCCTGCAGCTGTGTGTTCCTGGGAGGAAGACTGCAGAGGTAAAATGCCATTTCATCAGGTGATATCAAGGGCACACACCATCAGCGTGTCTTATCACTGAAGAGGTGGACTTTCATCACCCAACTGAAATTCCAAATCTAGGTTCTATCTGGATATGGTACTTGGTTTCAGTCGATGTATTACTTTTTCGTTATTTGGTATGCCTTGTAATTTTGGGTAGAAAGTTGGATGTGTTGTATTGGGCAATAGGAACCAAGGAAACTAGGCCCCGCTTGGTGGATGTGATTAATCTGGCCACAGGTTGGCTGTATTTAATGCCACTAGAGCTGTAGATGCTTTGGGCTTCTAGTTCCTCTAGTGTCCTCTGTTGTCTTTGGACTTCCCTAAGAACTCTCCAGATTTCACAGTGGTATTCCCTCTAAAACCTCAGCTCTCAGATGGTCTGAGGAAAGTCTTCAATTCTGTTTGTTCAGCTTATTATTATTAGGACAGAAGTGACAATTTCTAAGTCCTTTACATGTTGGATCTGAAACCAGAAGTCTCTCCAAATACTTTTAAGAGCAGAAATATATTTTTTTCTTAATGAAATCTACATAACAGGGATGGGTCTCATCATCCCTTTTTCAAGTATCCCAGATCATTAAAAAGTGGCATGTCCACATGGGGCACGTGGCTTCTTCCCACGTGATGGCAGTACTCTTTCTTGTCCATGAAATGCAGCCAGATGGCTTGCAGGCTATGGCTGGGCTCCCACAGAGCTCCCGAGTGCTCTAGTCCCTAGAGGCTGGCCTTGGTCTTCTGTGGTGGCTCTCCAGATGACTCTCTTACCAGCAAGGTTTGGTCCTGTTGCATAGAACTCCAAAGCCATCCTTCACGATCATGCTCTATCCTCTTCCTCCAGCCCTCCCCAGCCCGCTGACGCTCACAGAGTCCCCCGTGGCTGTGGAGCATGTGGTCCAGGACTCCTCGATCACCTACAGCTCGTGTTCTGCTCCTAATATCCTTATGATCAAAGATCTTTTTCCTTTTGATAAAACTTGGCTTCATAGAGCAAAGGCTTTAGCTTTCTAAGCCTAGTATTTGTGATGTGGGTTTTAACTAAACATTGAGTTTCTCTTACTTTTAATTTCTGCTATAACATTTTCAATACTCTGTGAAGTAACTGGATGCTTTTGATTAATTGGGGGGAAAGTCATGGATTTCTACAAAGAAATGTTGCAACAAAGAAACAAACAAACAAAAAAAAACAAATAATGAGTTCACAGTATCTCTTCTCTTATAGCCAGTGATCTTGGACAAAATGAAAAAAAAAAATTTCTCTGAACCTCAATTCTCCCATCTCCAAACCTGGGTAGTGGGAGAGGAAGAGAGAGGGAGAGACAGAGAGAGACAGAGAAAACACAACAGCGAATGGTGTGTCGGCTTAGCTCAGTGCCTGACAGGAGCGAACCCTCAGTAAATGCTCAGCTTTATCTGCTTGTCATTGGCCCCCCTCTTCTCCTGAAACCCTGCCCTCCTCCTTCCCACCTCTGAACTTGGAGTTGAGTTGGTGCTTTCCATCTGCTCAGCAGGAAGATTTCTCCTCGGGACCCAGGTATCATGATGCCTGGGTCCTGGGGAAAAACGAATCCCATCAGCTCTGCTGAACAGAGACACACACGGGAGTAGCTCTGGAGCCCAGATGCGGATTGCAGACCCAGGGTGGGCCTGCGTTAGTCTTCTAAGGGAGGACAACTTGCCCCCACTTCCATGTCTACTTCCAATCCTGTGTTTATTTCCCACCTTTGATAATAGCATGGATTCCAGAGAAACAACAGTTTGAGCTTCATCTCTAGGCTCAGAGGAGGTGGGAGGGCCTTGGTGTTTTCACATTTGTACCCTGTGCCTGTTCACAGAAGCAGCCTACATGGCCCTGCACAGACGCCTCTGCTGTTCCTGTCTGAGGCCTGTCAGCTTTCAAGGTTAAATCTCTAAGACTAAAGGAAAGCAGGGGCTGGAAGAATTTTGGAGGGACTCCAGGACTGGCTGGGCAAGCCAGCCCAAATAATTCAAGCAAGCAAAAATGTGCTTGAATCTGAGCTGCTGTCTAGACGGTGAGGATCGCATACAGGTAGCTGTATGACCTTGCACTTCATTTGGCCCATGAGCTTGTTTCAGGCATGTGGCAAGGAGTGTCTTGGTTTGGGTTCCTTCAGAAGTAGACCCAGAATGAACGATTTCAGTGCAATCAATTTACTTGAGAGGTTATCCTAGAGTTTCTGTTAGAGATGGGAGCATGAGATTGGGAAGGCAATGAAAGAAATAAAGTGTGTGCTACCCACGGCAGGTAGTTAGTCCTTCCAGGTGAATGTCATAACCACGGTAGAAATATTCCTGAATCACACCCTAGCTAGAGGGCAAGGAAACAGGGTGCTCTTCCATCAACTCCCCTCTGTCATTGATGAAGAGCATGATCAGCCTCTAAATATGCAGAAGAATTTTGTATCTTCACACGCAGAAAGTTGCAGGTGTGTATGGCCAGGAGCGCATGCAGGAGAAAGGTCCAGGGTACATGGACTGGGCTTTGCCCAAGTCTTTAGCCAGTGAGTCAAAACACAAAGCTCCCTCAATCTAGAGTGCTGGTCATTCAGGCCCAATCCTAGATTGTAGAAAGATAAGTCATCCGTTTAGGAACGTTGTCAGATATTCCCTCCCTCTGCCAGAGTCCCTTCTAAATAATCACTACATCCACTGGGTACTTCCTGTGCCAGGCACTTTCAGTATTCTTTATGACAATCCTCCGAGGTGAGAACCATTGCTATTATCAGTCGTGCTGCCTTCATGTGGTAACTGGAGCTCACAGAGTCCAGGAATTGGCCCGAGATCACGTAACGAATAAGGAATGACTCCAGATCTCACCCTTCAGATGAAGAATCCAAGTGAAATTCAGAGAAATGAAGAGTCTCACCCATGCCTCAGCTCTAGGAAGTAATGGAGAAAAATGGAGGCAACGTGGCTATAGGGTCAGCTGCCTGTCAAAATTCCGAGCAGGGGTCCTCTCTTCCTGAACTTCCTCTCTTGCCTCCCAGGGCGGAAGGAGCCACTCTCTGGTTTCTGATCTGCACATATGTTGTACCAAAGTGCTTACAATATTTAGTTTATAAACACTTGTTCTCCCATTAGGATTCCTCTGGTGACCTTTGCAATTCCAAGTTACATAAAAAAGCATTGAAGGAATGCGTCAAATTGATAAACACATAAACGGATGAGTGTGATCTAGCTTCAAGTCTCTGCATGGCCTCTCTTCTGTGGAGGGCTTTGGACCCAGAGAAGCTGGATTCACCTGCTCCAGAATATGTCAGGAGCCCTAAGATGGTCCTTGTGTGCCAGATGGTTCCTTAGATTGTCACATAGCTCTACTCACCTGCTAGGCCTGCCAATCAGCTCTTGCTCTTCCCCTACCACCTGTAAAGCTTTAGCAGAGTGACCAGAGCTTCATCAGCATGTACTCT